CGCCGCCGTCGGGGCCCGCGCCCCGGCCGGCCCTTTATTTTCCACACATCCGTTATTCCCATCCCATTGCGCTCTTCAGCCCCGCTCCGTCCGTACCTCGTTCCCAGAGGCTGTTTGTAGTCCGTCCGTCGCTCCATTGCTTTCCTCTCGCAGCTCCCTATTTCTTCTGATGCTCTCAGAGGAACTCCTTATATAGGTTTCCTTGCCCCCCCGTCAGCCAATAGGAGCTCAGAACGCCGCTTTTTTTTCCCGCCGTTTTCTCTTCCCGCCCTTTTCTTTTCTCACCTCTGCCTTCCCGCCCTTTCCAGCCGAAGGTGCCCGGGCCGGGGTCACCTGAAGTTCACGGCCGGGGTCACCTGAAGGTCACCGCTCCTCGCAGGCGTTGCCGCCCTTTCCCTCAGGGCTGAGCCGCTCCACAGGTGGTGTCACCTCACCAACCATACCTTGGCTGAGCTCGGGGTGGGGAATTCATTTCTTCTGTTTCAGTGTTTCTTTTTACGTTCTCACAAACATTAGGTGTTCCTTCCAGAGCAGTAGGCGTCCGCAAATGCAATTATATATGTATATATATTTATATTTATTTATTTATTTTTTCATTGAATTCTGCCACTGGCGCCTCACATCTCTGCCCCTACAGCCAAAATCCCTTCTGAGCTCAGACATACTGTTACACAGAGAAAAGAGTGAAAGAAACTGATGCTTGCTGTGTGAAGGACACAATTTATTTATAATCTCAAGATGTTCCTGAGTTATGGAGTTGTTTGTATTCTACCATTTATTTACTCACAATGGTTGGAAATGGTCTCCTCGGTGCTTTGCACTGCAGTAAATGTTTGCTGAACTCATTTCGTTCTGCCCTTGGCTATATTCTTTCTCATTGTAACAGTGGCATGAAACAGGGCTAAGAAGGATACAAAATGATGTATCCACAACATAGGCTGCTCCCGCCAATGAGTGATTCCAAAGTAAGATGTATCAGTAGCAGAGATGACTTTTGGCAACTGTGAGGAAAAGTTTCCCCTTTAGGGAATTTCCTGCCTGGTCGGCAACACAGGCAAACACAGGCACAGAGAAAGGCACCCAGGACCTGAGGGAACCAGCTGTGCTGCAGATGGCGCATAGCACGAGTGTCTGAGCTTTTGTCCTGGGACAATGTCATTTCTTTAACTCCCGGTTCACTAATTTATGTTATTACGTGAAATACTGATAACAAAAAATCATAAAACCATGACAAGGGATTAATGCGAAAGAGCACACAAGAGGAGCAATGATAGAAACACACCCACATATTGTTCAGGATCTTGTCACCTTCACTCAGTTTTAGATGTGGTTTTGCCCTGGAGTAGTCAGAACATTTTTCAGGATCAGAACAGTAAGATGGCTGAGGTAGAAGAACCATCATCTGCAGCACAATTGCCAGTTTGTATTCACTCAAGGATCATCCACTTGGTTGCCCATAGTAGGCTTTAAGTTTTACTGACCTTTCTAAAAGCTGCATTCTAGATTGGATTTGGTAACAACTGATAGAACAAACTGACTTTGATATCTTGGATAGTAGATGTAATCATCAGTAATTATAAAAGATAAACTGCCATGACAAATCTGCTTACATACATTAACTGAAGAAACTTGGGACAGAAAATGACAGGAAAGCTTGTAAATCTAACACCTGTCATTTATTGTCATCTGTGCTAGCTATTTGAAACCTCACAGCTATCTTTTTCTTATTTTCTTCAGAGGAATAAGATTAAGGATGCAGCCAAAAAGCAGACACAATTACTGGACTATACAGTACAGATTATTAGTAAGGCAGGCCCTGATACCTCTGTACAAAACTGAAAACACAGTCTGAAGCCTGATCAGTGCTCATAAGCAATTACATATTGCCGCTTGTCATAGCACAAGACTTTATTCAATAACCCAGACTATGTTTACCACTCCTTTCTGTTTCTTCAGTCTGCAATGCTAACTGTTATGCAGATGTATTTTATTCTTAGCATTTAACTTATTTGAAGAATTAAATACGTGCAAATATCTACAGTGAGATGAGTAGTGGAAATGCTAAGTCACAGCTTGAACCAGTGATTGAGCACCTGGTAGGAAGGCAGGGCCAACCAGGGAAGCTCAGGTGCAAGCAATACACCTGAGTGACTGGTAGTGGTGGAGCCAGGATCCACCCCTTCTCAGACCTCATTTAAGGGTTGGTAGTGGAGTTGAGAGCATCTTCTTTGGGGGTCTCTGTGTAGCTTGAGGACTTCATGGGTGTTCTGAAGGTGAGTAGTTTCTTTATCTTATTTTTCTATCTGCTGCTATTGTATCTGAGTAGATTCTTATGTGCTGTTACTTAAGATCTTGCTGCTCTGCCATCTTGTTATGCTTTTTATCTATACAACTAAATGCTTGCTTCTGAGTGGGTAGTGTGAAGATAGATTACTTTTAGACAATTACTGATGATGAGAATAACTTTAAATAATTATAGTTCAATTTCCACAGTATGGCTTCCAGAAAGGATTAGATAATCCAAGCAGCACTAAGGATCAAACTAAGAAAGGTGATACAGAATACAATAATGAGGACTTAAGAAAAGTCAAGTAATAGCATCTTTCTGTGTAATTCAAGATCTAAATTGGTATTTTTGTGAAAATACATGTAAAATAAGATGCCAGAATTGAATAAAAACTGTAGAAAGGGAGTCAGTTCTTGAGCACCTGTGAGTAAGCTCAGTAACGTTTAAGTTTATGGTCTAATAGTGACTTGAGAGCTAGTTATTTTTCTGTGTGTGCTGAAAAACTAAAGCAAGAATAGAATGCATGTTAGAAGTGGTCTGTGGGCTGAATCAAAAATTTGTCACTAACTGGCTATAAGATGCTAAGGGTGGTTTAGATAGGAATTGCACTCAGTGATGTTTTAGCTAATTTTCCCTTAAGGGAAATACTACAACAATTAAAGGCACAGCGGAAAAAGTTGCTTAAAAGCTTACTGCAATGCTCAATACCTCTGAGATCTTACAGTGAACAAAGTGACAAAACCCTTTGAACAGCCAAAATTAGAGCTGACAGCAGCCTTCTAACCAAAAACTATGATAAAGAGGCATTGATTTAATTTCTCTGTATGCTACTAGACCCTTGCACTAAAAATACTTTACTAAACCACCTGAATTGCTCTCCTTCGCAATGGAGTATAAATTACTGAGCGGAGTTTTTTGCTAGTACTGTGTCATCATTCAAACTAGCCACACTGAAGTTTTGAAGTGTTTGTTTCACTCAGGAACTCCTGAGAGTGAGATTATTAACTGCTCTTATTTGTGCTGAACTCAAAGAAAAGCATTCATTTGACCTCAAAGAGCAACTAACTGGGCTATAAGGTTTATTCCTGGACTTCTAGTGAACCCCTATGCATTGATTTTAATCTACTGTCATGGTTTTCTTTTCATTATCAGTACTCCATGTCATAACACGTAGTGCACTGGGAGCTCTATGTTCAGTTCAGCTTAAGTCCAGTTCCATGGACTTAATATTTTTTTGGGGTACCTGGTTCTGAGAAAAGAACTACATCTCCCAGAAAACTTCCACTATTCCATTTCTGTTTTCTATTTAGAGGGAAAGATGAAACTGCTCACAAGTTGCAAGATGTCCCCTTTTACTGCTTGTCTCTGCATGCTCTCCAGCCATCTCACCTTCAGCATTTGGGTAAGACCTTTGGTTTTGGCCATACTCTTATTTTGATTTATTAGATTCAATTCCTATTGCATTATATGGTGTTATAATATCAGAGTGCAAGATATTTAGTAAATTAGTTTCTCTCCTCAGATCATTGCTGCTGTTTTGTTGTTAGGCTCATCTTCCCACCTTTTTCCCCCCCTTCCCTCTCTCCCAGGGTGTGGGTCTATTGGTCCCTATGCTCCACTAGTCACGGAACTGGACTGAACTGGCCCATAAACCTTTGACATCTACCTTGAAATTCTGGATGAACTAGGTCAAGGATACATATATTTTTAATGGCTATTTCAACTTTAAAATGCAATGGGAAATAACATCTGTGTTGGTTGATTTGTTTAACAATAGGGATCAGTACATTAGGTTAAGAACCAATACATTGGTTTATCAAAACAAATCCATAATTGATAGCTCAAACTTCCCATTTCAACTTTAGTGGGTGAACAGTCTTGTTTTTCCTCAATTTTGCACAGGGGACATAATAGAATACTTTTCTATCTCAGTGATTTTGCTTCACGGGAAACATTGGAGTCACAATAGAATACTTTTATCTTTTGCCTCTAAATGTGCAAGGACCTTTTTCTCAGGTTCCACATGCCTTGTTCTTAAGGAGTGGCTCACTATGGCCTAAAAAGCAATGGAAATCTTCCCGACTGGGGAAAAGTGTGTGGAAGTGGATCAAAGGCCCAGATGAGCCTCTGTGACTGAAATCTTCTGGAATGAAGGACCAGAGGAGACTTCTGTTCAATGCACACAGCAAGTGATTCTCAGGGAGTTCCCCCTTACCCCGGCTCCATTGGGACCAGCCACAACTTCCTTAGAGTATGGTAAGGCATGTCTTCTCATTGCCTCTGGTGAAGTGTGTCAAATCTGTAGTATGTATGGAGAGCCAAGGGTAAGGGGATCCCCAAGTAGGTACCCCATACATGAGCAGGAATATGTCACAAGTTTGTGGAGGGCTCTGTGTTTCTTGGAAGTAGCGTGGTGAGGCGATGCTTTTGCGAAGCCCACAGGAGAAATGGAGTTTGAGCCCCTGTTAAAAAGGGTGCTTGAGAGATTCAAGATCCCCAAGAGAAACTGAAGCACTTGGTTTATTGATAATTATGTTGCATTATGGTTGCTGGTGCTGTGACTTTTGTATGTGAACATGAGTATGGGAGTATTGTTGTAACAGCAGCAAGCTTTTTAACTTTTTCTCTCTGTGGTGTGTATTTGCTGGATCTGTGGATTGTGTCATCAGAGCTACTGAGACTAGAGACTTTGACAGAGAATTTAAGTTTGCTGAACTGTAGCCTGTTTTCTTAAAAGGAGAAACAGAAAACCTTATATGGATTCCAAAATGTGGAAGTCCTTCAGAGACCTCACCTTGGAAAGCCCCTGTTTGAAAGCTGTAGCAAATGCAATCTTGCTTATACAAGAGGCTGGAAAACTGAAGTTTTCTTTGGGAAATAAAGTAACTGTGTATATTTCCTTTACAGTTACTGTAGTACTGAATGAATTGAAATGGAAGTTATGGGTTATCTCCAAGCAGGATCATGAAGTACCAAGTGGTGGAACATGAGGGCATGCAAACGTTTGTGGATGGTAGCAGTTTGGTGTGAGATTGCTTAAAAGGCCAGGTATGCTGTAACAACTAGAGATGAAGTAACAGGCTGAGACTCCAGCACTACCACCTCAGCAGAGAAAACAGAACTCACTCTTGTTAAGAGCACTGGTCCTAGCAAAGAGTGTCAATACTTGGACAGACTTAAAAATTTGTGTTTGGGGTTGTGCGTAGTGCTATCTGGAAAGAACAAAGTCTATTAACCTCTCAGAGAGCACCTGTAAAACAATAGTAGAACTGCTAGAAAAGTTGCAATTATCAAAAGAAATAACTATAGTATGCTGCAGAGATTGCCAATCAAATGACAGTAATATAGTTTTGCACAAAAACTGTGCAGATACAGCTGCAAAAAATGCAGCAGGAGGAGTTTTCTTCCAACGAATACCCCAAGATCTGAAGAATTGATTCAGAGGTTCATTAAGTACCAGATACAAGATAAGGGGAGTAGGGGTGAATAGCTTCTAATAGCAATTAGAATAGGGATATCATCAGAGGCTCACATCTTGTAGCAGGAATTGTTCAAAACATAGGAAAAAAATCATTGGAATAGCATCAGATTTACGTATTCCATATAGAGCACACTATAGTTAAAATCTCTTAAGAAACAGACTTGAAATGACCTGAGGCATCTTACTATATATTAGGTAAAGCCACATGCTGAAGAGAAAACTAGTCCTCATGAAGTTGCGCATGGAAGACCACTTCAGGTATTGGCAGGTGGTATTGATGTAAACCAATTAGGCAAACTAAAACTAAGAAAATATAATCTCCTTAGGGTAAGTGCTATCTTCGACTCACAGGTTCATGGCACAGGTGGTACCAAGACCTCTGGAAGTCACAGTACATCTGTCCAAACTGAGTGGATGTATCTACGGACTTGAGCTCTGAACCACTACAGGAGAAGTGGAAAGGACTGTATCAAATACTACTGACAACACAAACTGCTACCAAGGTGCCAGGAGTAGACTCTTGAATTCATTACACAAGAATAAAAAGCACCCAGCCCACAGTGGCAAGTAGAACCAACTGCACTGCAGAAACTGAAATTTTCACATAAATGAATGTAGCTTGTAAACAAGGAAATGAAAAATGTTATGCAATTAAATGATATTGAGGTATGGTTACCATTAGAGTGTATAGTGATTGTTTGCCTTATATTAACTGCATTAATTGTTTGCTTATATGTTTGGAAAAAACCTCTTCTGCAGTACTTAAGGGATATATATTCTGCTTGTCTAAAATGATAACATTTTAGTAATACTTATGCTTATTTATAGTGTGGGATCAAAATAAGCACATGAAATTGATGGAAAAGGTGTTAGATATGCTCAGTTGTCAAAATGTGGCAAGTCCATACCTATGATGGGGATGATCACTATTGATACAGAGTTGGGATACAGTATTTGTTATCAAACCTGTGGGGTACTTTGTAGACAAATACAGAATCACAAACATAGATTGTAGGGACCCAGCCTATGAATGATACCATTTGTCTGGATACAGGGACTAGTCAATTAGGGAAGGCTCCAGTAGGAAGATAGCTGCACTGTAAATGGACAGGACAAATGAGTATTTGGAGGGGGGGGGGGGGGAACAGGGATAAATATTGGGTGTCAGCCAAAGGGAAAGGATGGCACTTGCTGTGTGGAGATCAAGCTTGGAAGATACCACTCCTGTGGTGGACCAGAACCTGTACCCTAGGAATAGTAATGCCAAAGGTTAACAGACAAATTAACTAGGACAATACAGGCCCAAGTGCCCTCAAAAGTCAAGAGAATTGCTCATTCCACCAATGGAAAGACCTGGTAGATTTCACTCATTCATCAGATGCTTAATTCCCTGTTTAGGAGTTGTAGAATTGGAAAAGGCTGTAGTGAACACCTCAGCAGATATGAAACACCTTGAAAGTAAAATTTAGATGCTATTATTGCCCTTGAAGTCCAAAGCTTAGCCAGAGTGGCTAAGAGAATGCAAAATAAAATGGCTTTAGGTATGTTATTAACTGCACAAGGGGGAATTGATACAATAGCAAGTACTAGTGGTTGTGTTTCTATTCCACCACTCTGATCTACATAAACAAATGCATATATGAAACCAAACTGAAGTAATGCATAAAGTAAGCCAAGATGACGTAAGCTGAAACCAAAATGACTTCCTGGCTTCCCAAATTCAAATGGTTAAAGAAGTTTTCTGTAGAATAGTGTGTGATCACTATATGTATCATTGCTTGTTGCACAATTGAATGTTGGAGATATATCTAAATTTGAAAGGTCAAGAATGGTGAGGATTAGGATAGTAATCCTCAATAAGAAAATAGCAATAGGGATTAGTGCATTAGTTTAAGAACCAAAATATTAGGTTAGCAAAAGGAATCTAAGTGATAGCTAAAACTGGAAGTTTCAGAGCTTTAGTCTTGTCCCCAGTGCAAAATTGAGGGGAAACAGAATACTTTAATCTTCTATTTCAATGATTCAAGAATTATTGGGGTTGCAATAGAATGGTTGTCCTTGCACATTTTGATGCAAAAGATTTTCCTTGGATTCTGCATACACTTTTTTTAAGAAGTGACTCACTATGGCCTAATAAGCAATGGGAATCTTCCAGACTTGGGGAAAGTGGATAGAAATGGGCTTCAGTGAATTAAGCTGATGGTGGGGGAAAAAAAGTAGGTAGGCACTCAATCACCTGGGGTATTACTGAGCATGCTCAAAGGGAAATTAGCACATATCTATGAGACCATGAAAAAGAATGAATATGTACGTTAATATACTGCATCTGTATGTCTTAACTGTTTAAAGGTAGAACCTGAATTCTGGGAGGATGTGCTTGCCTGTCACGTTGCCCAGTGTGCATCATGAGGAATAAAGGAATGCCACTTTCTAACACCACGCTGGAAATAGACTTTTTTTCCCTGGATTTTGGTTGACTGCATTTTGATCAATCATTTGAACATTTTTCTGGAATAATTTGTCTGTATTATGTATACTGTAGTCCATTCTTTTCACATCAATAAAATCTGTAGATAATAGAGATATTGCATGCTGATTAAGGAATACGCGTTCATTGTCATGCAAGTGACAAAACTTCAAGTTGTTAAGATTAGAGAAACTGACAAAACTAGAAGGGCACAATTTGGGAAACAATTATCCATCCCAGATGAGAGAGTGCTACAGATTTAATTGAAAAACCTATGGAATGCGCTACTGTTAATTAAATCGCACTCCATGCAAGTTATTAAAGAATTTTCCTTTGTGCAGGTGATAAACATTCTATTTTGCACAGAAGAAATAAAGTAGAACATAAAGAGGCAATGTGAAATTAAAAAGGGGCTGATGTTTTCATAGCACAAATGTATTATTCAAAAATCAATGAATTTGGACACAAAGGATGGAATAAGGGGGGAAAAAAGCTGAAGAAGAGGTCTCATTTGTGTACAGAGCAGTTAGGACAGAGAAATTACAATGGTTGTTAACCTAACTATTTGTTATGAGCAGACCTGTTAGTTAAATTCCAGTTATAGAGTCAGTTTAATTAGGGTATCAAACGTGAGTGTATAAGTGCTACAATATCACAAGTAAGGTCTTTCTCCTTTTATATAGCCCCCTAAACAAACTGAAGAAGTGATGGTAGTTTATTATTTAGATGCACTCAGATTCCAAGCCTAACAAAACAACTAACAAACAACAGTCTGATTTACAAAATACATTTCTAATGCTTTAAGCACAACAAGGTCAGGTATACAGGTTTGCACTGCGTATATCAGAACAGCGTTTTGTCTATGGCGTGGGTCAAGATTCAGCACATCACACCTCCTGTCATTGGCACCATTATTTCTGTAGCAACAACACGGTGGCCTTACAACCACCTCTTGCTGGAAGTATAATAGACAACACCTGTAAAGGTAATCTTCAGCTTCCCTGTCACATTCAGATTGCACTGAGGAAAACGATTGGCACGAACAAGAAGCAAAGCACTACTCTGCTTTCTCCTTTACTGACTTCAACTCAGCTACCTCAACGGCCAGATTAGCTCAGCACTTTTGATTGGCTTTTGACCACTACTGTGCAGGCTGGCGTGTAAAAATCACATTGCTTATTATCACAAATAAATGAACCTCAGTATAGCCACTCTCTTTCTCTCTATACTTTTTTTTTTCCCCTCAGTCTAAGTGTGGCTCTGTTTTTCCAAGACCACTGCCTTACAACATGTCCTCTCGTTTAAAATACTTGATCAAAAATATCACCCACAACATCTAAGGGCTGCTGTAGTACTGCAAGCAAGCATTAGCAGAATATTTTGCATAATTACTTTTTCAAATCATTTCCAGTACCAAAATAATTGCTCATTTCATTACAGCAGAATTTTTCTGGGTGCAGCACTGCAGTGAGTATCATATTGCAGCAAATATCTAAGATACAATCAGTAGCTTAGGACAGAGGTCAGGTTCCTTGAACTGCTCTCTTCCAGCCAGCCACGTTCTAGGATGATACGCAGCACTCCTGACAAAAGCAGTCTCCGGTTAAGTAACACTTAGTTCAAGTTTAATGAGTACTTACAGTTTATCAGAAATTGCTGCCCAACTCTGATGAAATTTCCCTAAAGAGCTTGACTCAGCTCCCATCTTCTAAGAACAACTGTATCACTTTAAAGTTTCAAATTTGTCAGCTCAATCACTGTTTAATCAATTATTCCAGGCAAAATTAAATTAAAAAAAAAAGAACAACTATTTTCTTGCTTGAGCTAATTACTGTAAATGATCAATTATTTTATGTGTACATTAAAAAAAAAAACCTCATAACTTGTCTCATTTGTTTATTTTTAATTATATTTGAATGCATATGGATTGCAAAAAGGATGCTTTTAAAAACATGAAGTAGGGACAAAAAATCATGCTACACAAATGCTTCTGCTGCTTCTTACTAGGTGGAATTGTCCTCTCACTGCAGTTCAAATAGAAATTGATACAAACTTTTCTCCTTTTTCTTAAATGAAGTAGTGACTAAATAACAACAAATTGCTCAGAAAAATGTGAGCATGTTATGGAAGGCCTAAGGAGCCCATTCTGTTTTGTTCACTACAGCTTTCGATGGTTTTAAATCACCCAGTAATTCATAGGCACAAAGCAGTTCAAGAGGAACCCTCCAGCAACTTCTTTGAGGCTCTGGATGGGATTCTATAGCCCAGGATCTCTTTCCTTTGAGCAGACTTCTCAAAGCACTTCTTCAGCAGACTTCTTGAGCACTTCTCCTGGAGAACATCGCAATATATCACATATGCTTGTCAGGATCTCTTGCCTCACTCTGCACATTCAGATCTCCCTTCTTTTCCCATCTGACACTACGATGGCTGTGAAAATATATCCGTAACAATGTACAATAAAAACATGCACAGTTCTACAATTATAAAAAATTAAAATGAATGTAGTCCAACTTTCAGGATTTTAAATTAAGAATGAAACTGCTGAGTAAAGTGAGCTTCATCACTGAAGTCTTTACTGTACACACAGCACCTGTGTCCCTCACAGAAAGACTTCCTACTGATTTATATGACATGTGAACATAATTCTGAGCAACACTATAGAGAACTGTTTGTAAAGCTCTGCTTCAAATTTCACCAGTTGGCAATTTTCTTGTGTGTATCATTAACTCATTTGGCCATTTGTCACATCCCTACTCCCATATTTCCACTGCTGGTTTTAGTTACATTTTCTCTGAGGTAAAAAGTTGTTACAGGTTTAACAAATTTTTTTTCTCCTTTTCTCTTTTTTGGATTGAGGGATGAGAGAAAGTGGAGTGGGGATGAGGGCCTTTTGAAACTGTTAAGGGTAGGGACAGTCTTTGGAAGGGTGATTATCATTCCATTTGTGTCAAATGTGATTGGTTTGAATTAGGTACAATTATTTAAGTTATTAATGAACCCAAAAATGAAGTGAAAATGAGAAGCACATAACAAACTTTAAGCGTAATTTAAGTCCATAATTCAGATCTAGAGACCACACGTCTAAGTGTCAGGACCCTGAGCTGGCCCTAACGAGGCACAGCTGTGCTATTGAAGCAGTGACTCCCAGGTGCTGCGGGACTGCGGCTGCCCAGGCACAGCTGAGCCTCATTGAGATATCAGGGCAGGGCCTGCCCCAAAGCCTCTTAAGCTCCACTGCAGGCTGCTGGGAGTTGTGAGGGAGGTCCTTGTTTGCAGAAGCAGGAGTAAGGTTCTGCTCCTTTGTGCTGCTGGGGCTGAAAGGGAGGCACAAGGGGCTGCTTTCAAAGTGAAACCTTGGCTTTCTATTTAATTCTATTTAACTTTCTCTGTTTGTTACTTTGTTTCAGGCTGCAGTGAGAATCAGCTCAAACCAATGAGCAGTTCTGGTAGTAACGGGGCCATGGAGATGATGAGTGCTTGGGAGTTATCAGGGGCTCTCTGCCTGCAGCAGGAGGCTTCTGCATTCTCCTCCTGCTCTCTTTGGGGCTGCTGCAGAGCTACTGCTGGGAGTGGTGTTGCCTGGCTTCCTTGTAGTTTCTGAGGGGGCAGACACGGGGCTGCTGCTCAGTTCCTTGAGTCCTAGCACAGCCTTGTGGTGCTCTCAGTGCCCCAGGTTTTTTTTGTTTTGTTTTGTTTTTAGCAGGTGCTTCAGTTCTTCCTGCTCTCATCAGTGGGAGTGAGTGGGATGGAGCTGAATTCCTCCAGCCCTTGTGCTGCTGGAAGTAAGAAGCAGCACGAAGGGCTTCTGAAGCTGTTTTCTCCTGTCACAGGCTGAGTGAGGGCTGCAGAAGGGCCTCTTGTCAGCCGAAGTCAGCGAGCAGTTCTGAAAGCTGTAGGTTTGTGGGAGTGGTGAGTGCTGGGAGTCACTAGGTAAGTTCTGTCTTCTTGGGGCTTGTGTAAGGCACTGCTTGAATACGTCTCTTTCTTTAGGATGGGCATGGTGGCTGGGCTCCCCCAGGACTTCTGCTGAACTCCCTGAGGCCAAGTATGACCCTGGGCTGGCCTGCTTACAGGGGACCCCCAGCTACTGCTCCTCCAGCAAGGCTGCACCTTCTCTGCAGGCGTCATATGCTCACCACCAGGTGGGCACCTTGAGCAGAGGGAAAATACCCTGGTTGGAGCTCACCGTCCACAGCAGAAGATGGAGTGGAAGAGACTTGTTTTAACTTTGGGCCCCCAGTTCAAAGCATCTGATTCTGATTTGTCTGTGTTACTGGCAGACCATGGCAAGAGAGCGGAGTCTTCACAAGCTCCTCCAACACCAGTAGGTGCTGAGGCACCTTCTGGAGGCCTTCTTCTTTCCCCAAGTAGATTGCATTCCTCAACCAAGCGATACACACTGAGGGAGATGACTCTGGAACATGAAAAAAGTTTCCACAGTTAAGTGCTTTGGAAAATGATGTGCAAGGGAGAAGATAGTGTGTGTTGGTAGGCAGCCAGAGGGAAAAGCGAGAAAAAGAGGGAAGTGAAAAGAAGGGAAAGGGGAGAAACGGAACAAAATGAAGATGAGTGGTAAGAATGAAAGTAACCACGAAAGAGAAACAGCAAAGAGACCAAGGGAACAAGGAGTTGGAGCAAGGGGATCGAGCAAGGAAAAATCAAAAGCTGACAAGTGAGAAATCTGTGCATCCTGTGGAAAAGCCTCAAAACTCTCACAGGGGAGCAGAACCTGGAAGACAGCAGCCAGAATGAAATGATCTGCCCATCATGACAAGCCCGTGACAGTGTTTGGACACCAAGCAAGGTCTTTGATGCTTGATACCAGCAGTACACCACAGTTTTATGTTTTCATTCTCTCTTAGATCTGAATAAGTTTGCAAATTAGTGAAGGCTTTTTACTAGATCTGCTACCAAAGAGATCACAGCGTGACCAAGGCGAGGTGAGCTCACAGAAGCCTCCAAATATTCTTTGGATGCTGGGAATCCCTGGAAATATCCCTGAAAAAGTTCCTGGAACTTCAATTGTTAAGAGTCCTTCACATCCACCACATACTTGGAAAGTTACAAAAATGTTTAGGTTATGCAGAGTGGCTAAGATCACCTACCAGTTCCTAACAGTTCATTGCCTACTGGCAAAGCTGAGTATGGCTAATAGCAAAGAATGTGGGAGGCATGAGCCGCTGTAACCTCTTTTAAGCCGCTGTAACCTCTTTTAATGGAGTTTACTATTTCTACTGGAGCTCCTAAAAGAGCACACAGGCATAGGCACACACATGCATGCACAAAGATACACAGGTAGAAATAAAATTCTACTGGAGCCAAGCCACGATGTAAGAGTTACAGCTCAATGACAAAAGAATTATACCTGCAGATGGATTACAAAGTACTGTAAAATGCTGTGAAATGTGTTTTCTTTCTAACAAATCTTGCTGATCACTGAGGCCATAACAAAGCATTGCCTGAAGGGTGAGCCCACGCATCCAGGACATGAACACACACCCTATGAGCATGTGGAGCTGTGGTGTCACATAGCGCAGAATGAGAGGAAATTCTCACAATTGCCTGTTTCCCCATGGTGCACTGAATGACTGAGTGACCACAAACCACGACTGAAGAACAGGAGTGAGTCATGGAGTTCCAAACAAGAGCATCCACTAATTGTTCCATGGAAGAGGCTCAGCGAAGTATGAAGGAGGATTCTGTAGGATATTTTGTTGATTGTGAGCTTTGTAGCCCTCTGTAGCAAAGCTGGCCATTCAAATCTGAGCTATTATTTTATGATCCACAGCCCAGGGAGAGCCATGTTCCAAGGTGTGGTATCTCTCATGGACAGGGCTTGTGGTATGAGCCCAGAGCAGCTTTGAGGCTATTCAGAAGGAAATCAGCCACCACCTGATGCAAACTAGAGAGGATACATAAACTTAATAGGCAATCACAATCCTGTAGGCGGACCTCAGCTTTTCTGTCCTCCTGTACTCCTTTCTCTTTATGCAGATACAAGGTTTTCTTCAAACTGAGATGATGTGGGTTTAAAAGTTTAACCTCACAAGCTGAGGTGCAACCTCAGTTTGCACTTTCCTGAGTGAAAAACTAAATGGTGGCTGCTCCTAGACCTCTCCTATCAGGTCTCACCTGGGAGAAAGATTTTTATTGTGTTGGCAGAAGGTGATCACATTCACATTTTTCTTCAAAATATCTGGATTTTGATAGAAATGAATACATTTTTTTTTTCATTGCCAGAAAAGTGGGGGAAAAAATTACAGACTGGAAAAATAGACAAAAATTAAGGAACCTTGCAAAAAAAAATTTTTCCATGTTATACATTTGGATTTAATCCAAAATCCATTTATACTAAGAGTTCTTATCAAATTCTTTTCAGGAAAGTATGAATTGGTAAAAAGATGTGCCAGGAAACTGATCTACTGGAAAATTCTCATGTTTGGAGACAGTTTCTAGAACAGTAACACTTACGGTCTTATATTTAAAACAACAACTTGGACTCAGGTGTCTAAAAAAAAAACTTGTACTACTGCCAAGCTATTAGCTTACAAAGCTCCAGGCCCTGTCTACACACCATCCAGCCATCAGTTTAACTAAAATCACTATTTAATCCATTTAGAGCAATCAGTACAACCCTTTTGGGTAACCAAATTAACCTAAATCAATACAAGCCTGTCACAGGCAGAGGCAAACAATTTAAGGATATTGACATAGAAACCTGTGTTGCAGGCGCCGAGTGCTGGAGCTCAAGAAGCATTTGGACGCTGCTCTCAAATATAAGGTTTGGATTTTGGGTGATGCTGTGCAAAGCCAGGGATCGGGCTCCATGATCCTCATAGGTCCCTTTCAGCTCAGAATATTCTGTTCTCTTAACAAACTTGTTCACTGCACAGCTCACCTCTTTTTCCACCCCTTTATGGATATGCTCAGAGTGCATTTCAAGGAAGAAATGCCCAGGAAACAAGGCACGTGGGGGTGTTCCTGTAGTTTTGCCAGCTGTTCTGCTTTCAGGTGCTGCACCAGCAAACCCTGCTGGTAACAGTACAGCAAAATGCAATTCTCAAAAGCAAAGGAAGCCAGCATCAGCAATGAAGCAGGGCCATAGATGGCCAGGGAAAGTCTGTGGGGGCACAGAGAACCCTTGTAGCAGCTGTCCTAGGGCTTTCCCAGTATCCAGGGAGAGTATCTCATCAGTGCAAAGCTGGTGACTCTAGGGAGAGCTCTGACCTGAGGCAAAGCCACAGGATATAGCCGCTGATTCTCCCCCCAGAGCCAGTCATTTCAGAATGCTTTGGTGGAGGACCACAACTGGAATTTCACTCGACTTCATCCAAAAGACTCGAGGGACTCCAGAACTCTCCTTCCTTTACTCGCAGTGCAAGTTACATCCTATAAATTCAGAGGCTCGTACAAGATCTCAGTATTTGTTAAACTGTGGTAGAAAAAGACGGAAATCCCTCTGAAACCTGTGATCTTCCAAAGGCAAAGGAACTGCCCTAAAACAAACCAGCATCTCCTTCCTCCTGTGGCTGCAATCCAGAAAACAGTTTACATGAATGGGGAATTGGGCCCCCAGCTTAGCTAAGCCAAAGATGCTCAGATAGGACCGTGACCATCTGATGTACTACAGGGACAACTTTGTATTGCAGAGGTGCCTGGGCAGCAATAGCCATCTCCAACATGTTCTTAGACACACGAGCCATGCCCAGCACAAGGAACAGCTCAGGCTGTGTGATCCCCTTTCAAAGCCTGCTGTGGTGTCTGGTGATGCTCTCTGGAGTGTGCTGGGTCTCTCCTGGTGGCCTGGGGACAACTGCTGTCTACCCAAGGGTTTCTGTGGCAAGCGTGGTCACAGTAGGTAGGCACACAGACACGTTCACACATGCAGGACTGTTTGCTTTTATACCAGAAGTTCAACATCTAAAAGACTTGCATTTTCTTAGATGGTTTAATGTAATTATAATATATATTAAGGAATTAGGCTTCTGGTCTACGACTCCTTATTAGCACCAGTACTCTCCAGTGTCCTGCTTCAGATAAAAGCATTTGTATAATGTACAGGTCTGCAAGTACATGTCTGGCCAAACTTTCTCATGCATTTTTATTTCTTTCTTTCTCTTCAAACCACCATACACACATGATGAGACATGCTATTCCCTCATATTCCCCAAATTTCTGAATAGCAGAAGGTACTGCATGTCATTTATTACCACCAGAGATGTAGCTAAGTCTAAAAATGAAGCTTATGCTGCACCACTAACTGTGTTTTAAGGACATATAGGGCAAACAACAAACCACTTGTGCCTGGAAATGAAAAAAAGCCTCTTGTGTTTCTAGAGATGGACACTAGATGGCAGAACAAATAAACATTCTCTAACAATTTCCAGAGGCATCTTTCTAATAGGAAGGTATGACCAGAGAGCTGAAAGACTATATTTGAAATAAACGGAAAGCCTACAGCTTTTCCACTTGGACCAATCAGTTCCTGTAGAGCACAGGCCCTGATAAGACTAGGTTTAAACTTTTTATGTCCTTCACCATGTGTGTTACCTTCAATTTGGTGACAGTCACAAACTCCCATCTCCCTGAACAAACGTCTGCATCTTCCCTTCTTTCATACAACATGTTTAAAGTAGGACCCAGGAAAACTCTACCACAACACTGAGTAGGTGATACAAGTTTTTAGATGCAGATAAGAACCTCAATTGAGCTCAAGCAATTTAGGAACATCGGTGCAGCTGCCTATCAGTGGAATGCACTTCATGTGTAGATGCCATTAAGTAATTAGAAACTAAATTATTTGCTCCCGCAAAGCAACACTTCTTCCAGAGGAAGAATATACCTATTTAAATAGTTAAATAACTAAGAGTAATCGTGGGTAAATGCTGAGCTGAAAATGCTGCAAAAAAAAGACCAGAGAAGAACCGAGCAGGACTGTTGTGCACTATGAGATGTCTGCTGGCACCAAACACTGCTCACTCAAGGCCTGTGCCCCAAGCGTGGCCCAGCTCCGGCTTTGCCTTGAGCTGCAGGATGGGGCAAGGTCTGGAGGTCCAGCAGCCCAGTGCAGCTCAATGTATGGGAAACCAGCAAGAAAACAGGTTCCACCAAGAGCATAAAGTACAGTATCTCACTAAAGCCAGCTGGAAGTTCAGAATGAGTGCTTCTAATGTTGTTATCTGCCTGCGGGATGCTGCACACACTTTGCACATGACTGGATGGCACATGAGGGACCTTTGCGTTTCAGCCCCATAAAAGGGCCTGGGCTGCCCCATGAGCTCACTGGCTCTGGAGTGCAACAAGTGCTCAGATCAGCAGCCATATGAGCTGGACTGGAAGCTGAAAGAGCCAAGTCCAAGTCCTGGCTCCTGCCTGATTTGCTATATGACCTTACACCACTTCATCTTACTCATTTTCTTTCGTGGTCGTGGCATCTCCTGTCTGTCATCTTCACCTTTAGGTGTGAGGTATACAAAGGAAAATCTTCTTAGCCTAAGCTCTTGCTGCAAGGAGAGATCCACCCATACACATCTAACACAAGACTGCCAGCACTTAACATTATTCCCGTGACGTTGAAACCCGTGACTGTTCATACAATTGCATCCTTCAAACACCTGGTTCCTGTCCTCAAAAAGTTCATTTTAACAAAACCTGGGTTATTTCCAAACCCACTTATGGGCAGTCAGTTTTGCCAGGTATTTTTTCCTGAAGCCACGAGAGGAGAGGACCTTGAGAAGGAACTAAACAGAAGTGGTGAGACCCAACCAGATTAAAAGGGATTTGTAAGCCTGAAAAAAAAGCAAAGAGCTGTGGGAGAAGTGACCAAAGACAAACGATGTCCCTTGAAACCTGCTTTGCACCAGGAACCAAGGAACAGCATCTAACGATGGGTTTAGGAGGTCATCTGGCCTGTTTGGCAATGGAGGAGCAGAGCTTACACAACAGCCCCTTTCTTTGGGAGGAGTAAACATCTGAATGAAAAGAACAGTAGGAAGAAAGAAGATGAACCCACATGACACTGGTCTGTGAAATCCAGTAGGGCAGGCTAGGCGCTCAGCCCCCCTCACTGGGGGGCAGGAGGGACACCAGGGCTAGCGGTGTCAGCCTGTGGGAGGAGCTGAGAGGAGTCATCTCCTCAAATCTGGCCAGTGTTCAGGGAGATACTGACTGGCTCCAGAAGAACCCATAGGCAAGCCTCTCCTGCTGCAGTCTGCAAACAGGCCTTTCAAAAGGGCAATGAGTTAGGTAAAGAAAGTTGGGACTGGTGGGAATACTCCTCAATGACAACCTTCCTGAGAACTGGAGAAGCAGCTTCCTTCATCATTGTAGACCGTTTCTCTTGGCTTGTGATGATTGCAGGCCTCAAAATAACTGAGGTCTGCACAGCTGCAAAAGCAACATGAGATGTGCTTACCCACCCATCCTGACATACAGCACCATGGCTGCCATAGGACACAGCACCAGGTCTTTGGAGTACAGGAATAGCAGAACTCTCCCCCCACAGCTGAGTGGTGTTTTCAGATTTGGCGGTGTGAGTAGACAAGCCTGCTTAAGAAACCAACTGATTCTTCTTCCCGCATGGAGATGGTTTACCCCAAGACATCAGCTAGACATGGAAAAGACCAAACCATGGAATGGATGTAGGCAATGAATCAAAAGAACAGTAAAGTGCAAGAAATTACAAGTTAAGAAAGGAAAGAAAAGGAAGAGTTGAAGCAGCAACAACAGTGACAGCGAAACAGACAGATTAACAGCATACAAGTGGAAAACAGTGGTCACAGTAAGCATTCCTTTATGTTACAGAATACATTTAACAATGTTTCTAGCAGTTGCAAACACTGGTAGATCACCCGTCAAAGACTATGGCTACCAGTACGGGAATGAAGGTGAACAAGCATGGGAGATGGGGTGGTATGGGAACAAAGAGCTTAATCTGTGACAGCACAGCTGGATCCTACAAACCCTGCTCAAAGCAGGACTTGCAGGTTCTCACAGCTCAGAAAATTAAGTTCCCTTTATTCATTACTCAAGGGTAGATGCTTTGGTTATCTTGTGGTCCTACCATTCCTATAGGTCAGCTCCAAGTCTCTTTTACAGCTGAGACACTCAAGTTTCAAAGCGGTTTTCAGCTTCTTGCAGGGCTGCCTTCCTGTCCCATGTCCTCCCCAAGTCCCACCCTAAGTGCATACCCTCTGTCCTGCAGCTCATCCTGCTCCTCCTCCATGCTCTCCCACTCCTTGCCACTCTTCCCCTCTTTGTTTTCACCTTACTTCCTTCCATTTTCCCGCACTACTGCCTTCTTCCTTCCCAACTAACCCTTTACTGTCGATATTTCAGACTGTCAGAAGTTTTGAAAAGTTCCCTTTCCAAAATCAGAAGTGGTAAACCAAACTGCTATCCTGCAGTCTTCAGGTAAAGGTCCTGTCCTCCCACTTCCACCTCATCGCTTTCCTCCACCATCTTCCCTTCATTTTTCTTGGCTGTTCCTCTGTCTGCTCTGAAATTCAGAAACTGTTTGAGGGTAGTCCCAGAGTCTGGTCTATAGAATTCTAGAAGGTAAAATATATAATAAAAAGTCTATTCTAATTTTTTTTTAATTTTTATTTTGAATAAACTCATAGAAAAATCCAAGTAAGGAAGACTGAGTAGATAGACACACATGTCCTGTCAACAGGAAGCTTCTCTTATATAACTCCACTGTAGTTCTGGAAAGCTAAATGTGGTTGAATCTATTTTCCTCTCTGCAAATTAGTAGCCAGGACAAAAGTCAAGCATGAAGAAATATCACCTCTGAGAAAGATTTCAGAAAAGCAGATGGTTTTTAGCACACAGAGCTGCCCTCGTGAAACATCTGCTATGACATAGTCCTGTTCTGGCTGTAGACCAAGCATATCAATGGCTCCACAGAGCAATGGGATAAGAAATGGGAAAACTGCCATTGCTTGTTTAGGAACTTGTTTTGCTGATAAATGTCTGTCACTTTTCAAATAGCTACAGTCTAATTGTTTTTGGGGGAAAATATTTCCTTGAGCAGGAGGTTTGCAGGCCGCTAGCTATTTCCCATCTGTGCTGCTGCTCAAATACATCACACACACACTTTCCTCCCTATTATGGATTACTATGGCTTCTGATAATAAACAGGCAGCCTAAAGGAATTTAGAAATCTCATCTGCCATTAAGGAGCTCTCTAGGCTTAATGAAATTTTAAGGTTGGAATCAAAACATATTCTTTGAAGAAACCTCTAAATTCTGCTAAAAAATACAATTTTTATACATCTGCAATTTCATAGTCATGAATAACTGTACAAGAATAACAGTTATTTGACTACAGCAGTGGCTGCTGTGCGCTCATTCTGTGGCAGGCTTTCAGTGTCACTCATCTCATCCCTTTTCAAACTGTGACATGAAAACATTCAGCTTCTGCCCAGTAGTTGCTGGGACAGACAACATACAGCCCTCTGTTTAGTATCAGACAATACATCTAGTAACAATACAATAGACTTTCAACTCACATAAATCCTCCTGCAATTACTTGCAGTAAGTTTAGCAGTACCAAAAGACACAGCACTACTCTTGCACCTGCTTCAAGTGAAATAATAGATGCATACGTAAACTTAACAAAAATTTTTAAAAAGGATTCCTTATGAATAGATTTCACTTTCCTTTCTTACTCCTCCTCACTTCTCCCCCTCCCAAAAAAAAGAGAAAAACAAGGAGAAAATTACGTACCATTGCAGATCTATACTAGTGTCAAATTGTTCTGCCATCTGAATCCCTTGCTAATCTTTTTTATTGTTCTTTGTTTTTTTTTAACTCAAGAGGATCACATGAAGTTTCAAACCTAGCTACTTATTAGACTTCCCTGAATAAAATGGCTGAGATAGTTCTGCATATCAGGGGGAAACTCACATCTTTACTTACCTCTAGGACTAAGCAGCAAAAAACAAAAAAAAAATAAACAAAACCAAAACAAAACAAAAAAAAAAACAAAACCAACATCCAGGCAGTGACTGCTTTCAGAATTTATTGTTTAAAAATTTTTTTAAAAAAAACTAATAATAGGGAGAAAATAAAGCACCCACCACATATTGCTTTCTGTGGAAACAATGGAAAAATGTGACAGAAATGTATTTACCCATTCCTGTCCATGTATCAGATGATCCCTGCTACTCAGGACATGCTCACGGGAAAAATATTGGCACTATCACAGCATATGGAAGTGAAAATAAAAAACATGCAGTATTTTCAATTGCAGTTGGGAGGCCTATTTCCTGGTGTCTAAAGATCATGTTGTTTTATCTGTTTTCCTTTAGCATAACGTACATTATCAGACTTCCATAACTTCAGACACCGGCAGAAAGCCCTGATTTTTTGCCAGCGGTGACATACCCACCTCAAAGATAAACCTGGAAGTCAGAATGTCTGCCTTATTTCTGTTTGCAATTTCCTTTCCATAGGAACATGCACATGATATAGTTCCTGCTAACAGATATTTAAAGCTTGGCTGGCCCTTTCTATACTTACACCAGCTCAGCCCCACTGGAGGTCCTCAGGGCAGCACAAACAACAGAGAACAGACTTCCAGCACAAAGCCTCATTGGTTTCATTCAAGGAGCTCTTGCCTTAACCAATTTATGTGTGTTAAGCATACTTGGCAGGTCTTTCTTCCGCTTTTGTCTACAAAAGTGGCAGATTCTGCATTAAAATGTGTTACCAAAATGTAAACCATTAAGTTCCACATTTTTAAATGATTTTCTAACTTGTATCAAAATATCTAAAGAATCTGTGTAACTTAAATAGAGCTCAATTTTAACAGAGTCCCAGAATGATGAGTACACAGTAATACATGCTTGGTGCAATTAGCCTCATTACCAACTGGAGAAAAGTTGACTTAGCTTCAGTTTCATGCTTAAAAGCATTAATATGGCACCTTTTCAAGACCACCTCAGCTTCAAGTCAAAGGTTGAACTTTCACACATATAGGTGCATTATTTTAGAAACAATGTGAACATAGAACCCAAACAGCCAGAAAACAAAGCTCAGCAAAAACCTACAGATAATGCTGAACAACCAGTACTTAACCATTTTTTCCACTGCTAATTAGTGATAAGAGCAACCACACCTGTTTGAGGTGACTGGCATTACTGACAGTCTCTGGTGCAAAATGCAGTGGAACATTTGGTCATTCTGAAAGAGGATACAATGGAGCAATACAGGAAATTCCATGTCGAGAGGACAAAGTCAAACATTTGTTCTCTTGCACACCATAAAAAGTATTTTTGGGTACAAATTACTATTGCAAACAATCTTCTCGTAGATAAAACTAAAAATGTCTCTACCTAAAAAGCTTTGAGAGGGTCAAAACCCTAAAAATCATAACTAACAAGATTTCTCTGTGCAAGTCCTTTCCCCTTCTGGTCTGTGACAGTCTTCTTACTTTAAGAAAGACCTTCCTCTTGGTCAATCAATTCTGTTTTGGTGGAGAACACATCAGCCAACATGTGCTTTGGAATTTCAGAGCCCCGTACTTTTAACGTGTAGCAGGCATTCTCTACTTTTGCCAGACTCTGTTTCAAAGTGTACAGTTTCTTAGATACTTCATAAGGTCCTGTGTTGCCAATGAAAGTAAAACCATCATAAATCTGACGTAAGAACTGGCTCAGTTCAAAAGGTGTGTCGATGTCACCATTTCCAACACTGCTGATGCACAGTCGCATCAGCTCTCCAGTTAGATCAGCCACTCCCAGCAGGTAATCTACAGGTGTCACCTTCAGGCTCCAAGTGTGTGGTTGTTTATCCTGCGAACTGGAGGTCTGAGGACAGAATAGAGCAAAGTCCCTTTCAGAGAATTATAGAAAAGACAGTCTAAAATTATTCAAATGCACACTAATTTACCTAATGCAATGTAAAAGCAATAGGAATTACAAACATTCTAGTGCATGGCACTTCCAGTTTGATTTCAGAAGGACTATTTACTAATCCTTCCTCCAGCGTGCTGTAAGATATAAAAGTATCCATTCCATCGAGACGTGACTTCCTCTCCAAAAAGCATGATGAACATATCATGCTTCTACAGCTTTCATATGCAAATAGAATAAACATTTTTTTTGTATCAACATTTATTTGCATTTGCCTTTTTTTTTTTTTTTTTGGCTTGCAGACTTCAGCCTGATGGATTTAAATTTTGATTGAATGGTCTTGTCGAAAGATACACAAACATTCAAGAAACAATAAGAGAGTCTGCATTATAAAAACAAATCTCTTGAGTTTCAAAATGCTTTCTAGAAGAAGCTGACAAGTGGATTTCTCTCAGATCTGTTTTTTTATATCAACTGAATTCATCAAAATATCTAAATAAATATTCATGAAAAAAATCACAAGTGACAAATTTGCTCTCCAAGCTACAATACTTCCGATTTCCAAAATACTGTGATATGGGAGACAGAACAGGTGTACTTCTATCCCCTTGTTCCCACAATGGAACACCCACCCAAACATCATCAATTTGGTCAGAGGTGTGCATGCAGAAATCAATAACTTTGCAATTAGGGAAAACAAGCATGCCGCTGGAGGTAAGAAAAAGTGAACTTAAGCTGAAAACCTGGTTTCTTTACAAATATCTTACTAAAAGAACGAAGAAGGAAAAAAAAAAAGTGCTGTAGAACAGAATCTCTTCAACAGAAGCAGTCTCTAAAGCACTTATGCTGTGTATTATTGTACACTGCATGTGCACTGCATGACCCTTTCTATACTTTACCACGGCCAGCTTCTGAGTGCCATCTACAAAACGTGCCCAGTTTACTGTGGTCACTGGCAGCAGTGTCTGTGCAAATAACTCTGTGTAGGGCAGGGTAAAGGTATGGCCACGTCAAGAAACAGCAGATACAACACGAGGAGTAAGATACAAGAATAAATGAATTTGTCCCTGGAAACATAAAGAGCAACTCTAGGAATGTTACAAATTACCAAGTTAAAACACACAATGAATACTAACAGAAGCTAATCAGAGTGCCTGCCCTGATTTGCTTAGTACAAGGTAGGAAGATTTCATTTTGTCTCAAATTCATTAGTCTCCTCCAACTTTTGCTATACCACTATACACTGGTTGACCTTACAGACACAAACACAGACATTTAAAATCCCTCTTCCATATTTGCTTCCAAGTATTTTACAATCCCGATTCTTCTCCCTGCCAGAAGGTGTTCATTTTGCCCTAAAGGGGATGTGAAATGAATAAACTTGTAGCCTACTGATCTAGTTTAATACTTCTCAGAATAAAAAGCACGTTTTGAATGACTGAGTCAAAGCCCACATGTATATCTAATATCATTCCAAACTGAAGTTATTTAATCAAATGCCAAAAGTATGACTAAGCTCAGTCATTGCATTACCATTCCAGAAAGATATGTCATATGAGAAGAGAAAAACTTTTACCACGTTCGTTGTTTCTTCTCTGTCTTCTGCTGTAAATATTAGTTGCTTGTTGATCTCTTCAACACTAATTAAAGATCGGGTTTTGATAAAATACTGAAATGAAA